GCAATCAGGCAGGAACCCACACAGGGAGGGGACGTAGAAGCAGGTGCTGATGCAAGAGTCTTGAAGCAATACTACTTACTGACTTGCTTCTATGGCTTGCTCAGCCTGCTTTATTTAGCATCCAGGACCACCAGCCCAGGGATGTCACTACCCACAATGGACTGGGCACTATCCCATCAATCACTAGTTTAGAAAATACCCCTGAGTCCCCTGGCAGTGGGACTAGGATTTATCCCTGGTGCATGGACTGGCTTTTTAGAGCACATTTCCTATGGTAAGATTCCTTGCTCAACCTTGATGAAGCAGGGGAGGGGCTTGGTCCTGCCTCAATTTGATATGCCAGGCTTTGTTGACTTCCCATGGGAGGCCTTACCCTCTCTGAGAAGATGGGGGGGAAGAGGAGAGCAGAAGAAGGGTAGGGAGGGGAAACTGTGGTTGGTATGTAAAATGAAAAAAATTAAAATAAAAATAAAAATAAAAACTTAAAAATTAAATAAATAAAATAAAATCCTAAATACCCCAAATACTTGCCTATAGCCAGATCTCATGGAGGCACTTTCTCAATCGAGATTCCCTCCTCTCAGATAACTCTAGCTTGTGTCAAGTTGACATAAAACTATCCAGCACACTTATTCTTTCTAAACTATGTCTTGATCCTCTAATGTAGGATGAACTTTTTGTCTTGAGTATAAAGGTTATCACATGTATCACATCTTACAAACACCTAGCTACAAGAGCAGGCAAAGCTTGATGGACAGAGGATACAGGAGACAAATTCTTTCTCAACTACAGTACATTAGAAGCCACTCTGTGCAATATTAGGGATATAGGGGTCAATCCTTGACGTCTTCTGCACTTGGCTGGTAAGATATATCTCAAATGTTAACTCTGAGACACCTCAAATCTAATGGCTCCTCTTCCTTGGTTAAATCATTTTTTTTTTCCTCAGGCAGAGTCAAATGTTAACCACTGGTAGTCTATTTAAAATGCTTAAAACAATCTCTTATAGAAAACACTGTATAGTCTTGGTCTTCTTATTTTTACATAACTCACATTTTTATGTCTTGATACTGTGGATGTGTCCTTCTTGAAGGAATGTGAGATATCAGAGAGCAGGTGTGCTTAATTATTTTGGGAGATTCCTGAAATAAGACTTTGTAGGCAACCACCTACTCATCAAGTCCGGCATACTTTTCTACTAAGCAATGGCCAGGTCCTGAGACAGTAATTACCCAATTTTCCCTGAATAGCAATGCAAGGCACATGGACATGGTCAGTTGTGGAGAAGTTTTTTAGGCTGTTTCTCACTTTGCTTCATAAATGGCCTTAGCAATCTTCTCATCTCATCCTCCTCAGTAGCTAGGACTATAGGTACACAATATCAAGCTTGGCTATTAGGAAGAATTTTATATGAGTCACATGTGTCCAAACATATGCTTTTTGAACCCTAACACACATGTTAATCAAAATAAGATTTGAGTGCCTACTTGTGATCTAGGAAATTTGAAGCCATCAGAAGGAAATAATCCTGATTGGTTGGCCTGATCCTCGGGCCACATATCTCATTTACCAACTCTGTTGATTAGAAGATTGTTTCTTCTGTAGTTATTTACATGCCTGCACAAAAATGGTAGCCTAAACACAATGGTCTCCAAGACAATCAAGAAAGAAAGAAATGAAGGAAGGGAAGAAGGGAGGGAGGGAGAAGAAAAGAGAGAGAAGGGCGGGACTCTGTTCAGTGTAAAGTGAGTTTGGGGCAAAAAAAGCATTGGCAGACTTAATCTTATTTGTTTGGAGTTTAAGGGTTTTAAAACTCTCTGAAAATAAAAATGCTAAGTCTCAGGGACATATACTGGGCAGAGTCAGAAAACTGTTAAACCAAATGACACTTTTCCTCTTGTCAACCTGTGAGTCAGATGCCACCATGACTGCCATCTGGCACCTGCCCTGACCACACCTCCTCCTGAAATGCACTGTTCGAATCAGACTCCACCCCCACTCTTATTAAGCAAGTGAAAAAAAGAGAAAGCCTCAAATGCAGGGTGGTACACACATCGATCTGTAGTCTTCCCCCTAGTGGTCCTCTCACTTGAGAAGAAAAACTCATCACCAGGCTATTCCAATTGTTTTGTATCATCCTCAGTGTTCTCTTTCCTTTCGTCCTCATCTCACCAGTGGGGAAGATCCAAACTCCCCACCTCAACACATGTACAAGTCAAGTTTCCTTCCCCTTTCCCCCTTTTCACTCTCGCTCCATACAAACTTGCCAGCTTACAGTCAAAACTCACATCTGAAACAAAGAGGCCTGCAGGAGAAGCTCATGTAATCCCCCTCCTGAAATATCACCAAGACATCTGAGATACTGTTTAGATTGTGGACTCTTACTTTGGCATGCCAGCATAGGTAGAGAGACAGGAAGCACATCAGATGTCACTATTTGGCAGCTGATAAAAGTCAGGGCGCTGCAATACTAAGCCCAGAGCCACAGCAGCCTGAGGGAAGGAGATGCAGCTCCCTTCTCTTCAGTAGTGGGTTGAGCAGAGCTGGCACCCTCTGAACTCAGGGTAAGTGTCTTGATTATTTGTCCTATAGTTTGAGCTTTTGTTTGTTAGTTTGCTTGCTTGTTTAATGTGGATCAGAGGCATATGTACGAAGGTGATCTTCAGATTTAAAAGGAAAGAGAGAAAGCTGACAGTTACAATATTAGAATGGTGCTGGACAAAGTTTCAAAGAGAAAGGAGCCTGTGCGGTCTACTGGAACTGAAAGGCTTGAGCAGAGGACACAAGCAAAGAGAATTTTGCATCCTTATGTTAAAGCATGGCTTTTCCTTGGAAAGGTTCATTTGATCTGACTATAATTATGACCTTGTACTGTGGCCTCAACCCAGTCTTCTGTGAAAGTCTATGTCATACTAGAGGGATTTTTTTAATGGTTAAGATTAGCAAATATTAACTATTAAATTAAGAATTTCTAAAGTATTATTTTTATATATGAGATGGCAGAATACTTTGTTTATAGTCTTTAAAACTGAAATGTTAATAAGAATAAAGAAACAGAATCTAATAGAGAACTAAACTGTGAAACAATCACAACAAATAAGAAGTGAAGTTGTCTGGGGAAATATATTGTTTCACCAACATTTTGTAAACATCTATATGAAATGTTGTGGTGATATGAGTGAAACTTTTGAAACAGCCTATCTGTACCTGAGCTTTAAAAATACAAGATTATCAACTAAGGAGATTGATACCAAAACACTTAAGATGGTTGACATCCTAAAAATATTTTTTTTAAAAAAAAATCAGAAACTCTTGTTGAAAAATATCTCCAGCCTGGGTCTTAAGTAGTTGGTCCTGAGTAACTGTCCTGCCCAGAAATAAACTTAAGAATCAAACTCTAGATTCATCAAAGAGCTCCATTGCTATAAAACCAGTTGTCTTAAAATAAAGCCTTTTTATTTCAGGAAACAAAGGTTTCTATTAAACTGGTCCCACCCTCTGGATCTTTCTCCCTGACAGTTAAAAGGCCTCACATAGTACATTTCTACAATGCACTCTGGTTGAAGCATTTGGACTCATAAATTTGAAACTAGGGAATATATAAAGTTTCAAGTATTCTTTCTCCACAGAGCCTTTTTCTATGCAGTTCCTTGTAGCTCTGTCCTTGCTAATATTAACTTAATTCTAGCCTGCCAGCAAATCCTAAGGATGAGATGACTTGGTCTGGGTGAATCAAGAACAGCATTTTCCTCCAAATGGCAATACAAATGATTATACAGCACCCAGTTTCCATGGGAAAACAATTTGGTGAACTTTGCAGATAAACATTTGATTTATCAAAATTTCAGAGTTTCTCTATATTATGTGAAGCAAAATAATATATTTTAAATTAAATCATCTGATATTTCTAATGAAGACAGTGGGTATTGCAGTAACTTGCAGGAGCATTTGCTCTGACCTTTATCTAACGTGGCGATGGGAAAAATCAGAGGCAGAGATAAATAACCCTGAGGGTGGATTTTAACAGCAAAATGGGGGAAAACGGGGACCTGCTGTAGGGAGACAGAAAGGCCACTCACTCCAGAGATGAGTAAGAGTAACAGCATCCACCCTTCCTTTATTGACAGGCTAGTTTCATGGGTGCTTTATTTATGTCTATACTTACTGATTGCTGTTGAAAATAACAAGAGGAACTGTGATTTCAACACTAGCCTAAAATACATATTAAATAAATTAAATAAACCAGATAGTTAAGAGACCACTGAGATCAATAACTAAAAATTCTAATCTAAACGTAACAAGAAAAATGACATTTGGCTTTACAAATGCAGTCTGTAATAAATATTATGCATATAGAGACAAGCAAGTGCACAGTCCTCAGTCACCATGTACTTTGGTAGTATGATCAATACTGAATTAAGGGCAGAAAAAGAAGCAGTGAGTTATAATAGCAAAAAAAAATTGAAAATTGGCGATAATAAATTCATTCTACTTTTGAAATTGAGAAAAAGCAAATGGACATTAATGATAATTGATGTACCACAGGGGTTATTCATCTACTTTGATAAGAAATGGGGAGAATTTGTCTTGATGAAGACTGACATACATTAACTGCTACTGATTTTAAATCTTCACCTCTCTGAGGGTCAGGAATCTGCCGGGTCTGGATGAAAGCTAATCACAAGGCTCTAAAACTATCACATCGAGTGACATCCAAAGTATTTCTTATCAGAAAGTGCTCCTTGGAAAAATCTTTGGTGTCTGTCTTGAAACCTCTGCACATTTTTTCACCCAGAGATGAGCAAGCACACTGAATCCTTTTTACTTATTCTAAACAGAAAATTCACCTGGGCAAAGATGGAAGTAAAGAGAAAAGACAGAAGGCGGGAAAACTCTACTCTTGAAGCGACCCTAAAAGCGCATAAGCTTTCGTTGACAATGTCAAATAAACAATATGGTTTAGACTAAACTTTTAACTGAATCACTTTTCCCCTTTTCAGAAACAACATTCTTCAAGAAAAACCCACCAAAGCCAGGAGTACAGTATTCTTGAGATCTCGGCAAGCAGGGCCAGATTAAGGTTGCTTCTGAGTTCCTGCAACCGCCTCCAACTCCGGTTTGCAGCCCCACGGTCAGGACTCTACCCGTCCAGGAGCAAATCCGTCTTCCACATACCAGCTAAGCATGTTTAACTACGAACGTCCAAAACACTTCATCCAGTCCCAAAATCCATGTGGCTCCAGACTGCAGCCTCCAGGACCGGAAGCCTCCAGCTTCCCGAGCCAGACCAAACAGTCCTCCATCGTCATCCAGCCCCGCCAGTGCACAGAGCAGAGGTTTTCTGCATCCTCCACAGTGAGCTCTCACATCACCATGTCTTCCTCTGCTTATCCTGCTTCCCAGCAGCTTGCTGGCCCCAACCCAGGCCAAAGGGTTACTGCCACCTATAACCAGTCCCCAGCCAGCTTCCTCAGCTCTATATTACCATCTCAACCTGATTACAGTAACAGTAAAATCCCATCCACTGTGGACTCCAAGTAAGTGAATCTTTGTATACTGCATGCGCCATACGCTTTAGCGGAGGAGGTTTGAGGATGAGCTGCTGTTATTCTTCCGAGTGCAAAGTAGCAGTGGGAGCTTCATTCTCACGGAGTCAGGATACTGGAAATAAGTCATCTAAGCATTCTCCAGTGTCCATGCTGAGCGGAACTCCAATTACTTACTATCGCACACAATTACATCCCTATTATTTATCATCTTCAGAAATAAAAAAAAAAGTGGATTTCTAACATACCAGGGAATGGTGAACTTTCTGCTTAACTCTAAGCTAAGTTCCTCTTACTGCAAATTTAATTCCTCTGAGGTCTGGCTTGGCTGGGATGCAGAACACCTGTCTGTTCCTCTGTGGCTAGTATTTCCTCTCTCATAAGCAAAGGCTATTAAGTTTCTTCTCATAGTCTTTTCTTCCTACCCACTTCTCCCTCTAATCCTGACTGTCCACTTGGCTAATATAATTTAAAATTAACACTTTTTAAAAGTCTGGCACTCAGACAGTTGGTCACTTGTATAAATGGTCTTTACTGGGATCAGAAGGGAGGCTCGAGCAGATGAAGTTTCGTGGCTTTAAGGTTTGTGTTGGTAAGTGAGGCCATAACTTGGTGAACTTTCTCGGATGATCTAAATCCAGGAGCAAATACCTACAGCCTTATGCAAGCATGCACTGTATTTCCACAGCCGGAGACTGTCCTGGAAGAACTCAGTCCGAGGAAGGGACACCATGTGGAGTCGAGCTTTTTTTAAAACATGAACTGAATACTTTGTACTTATTTAAATTTAGGGCTATCAGTTGTCATATTTCTTGGCTGGAGAGAATATCAGAGACTAAACCAGAGGCATCTCAAACATTGTCTGGCGGACCATGCCTTGTTGGAGTCTTACTGGAACTCTTGCTAATGTTCCTGTCTTCTCTAGAGATTTGTTTGATGTTGAACAGAAAAAGGACCTATAAATCAGTGTAGACGTACGAGGTTATCATGTCCTGATACTCACACAGTCTACTTGTATGAATGATTGAGAGTGTTCAGCAACAAGATAACTGAGCTAGTTTTTCTAAAAATTATATTATTGGTTGAAATTCCAGAAAAGTAGCTGAAATGAGCACAGTGATTCAACTTGTAGTGGAACTGATTTCCTACTTTAAAAAATAAAAACCAGGACACTCAGAAACATGTTGGAATCCTACAGATTTTAAATGGAATTATATATAATGGCTGATGACTAATGGTTCATGCCCTGGAATATATAACATTGTCATAGTTTTGACTTAATATTTCAAAAGGACATCTTCCTCCCCAACTCCCCACAAATTCTCATTGTATTCATTGGATGTGTTATACTTCTTTCCTGTTCATAATCATTAATATGAGCATTCTCCATGTAGCTTCTTAGTATTTCCAAGTTTCTTATATTAGTATTTTAAATATAAAACCTACTCTGTAATATTTTTCCTAATAAAATCTTTCGATCCTATTCCAATTCTGCTCAGAAACAAAAAGTTATCAAACAAATATTCACAGAGCCTCAACCACAAACCTAGCTCTGTGCAAAACTAAGAAGAGGAGAGACAAAAATAGAGACTAAGAAAGCAAGCCTAGGAGGTCCCCAAACCAGAGATCAAAGGTCCAGCTTTAGCTGTTCCATTTTCAGCAACTGTAGATAAGTCTTCTAATCTTACCATCGCTACTTGACACCCATTCTGAGTCCAGCTGTACAGGGTGGAAAGGCCTGGCCTTTGAACATTTGTGCACAATTCTCTCATTGTTATGATGGGCTCAGGATTGTTCCATCTTCTAAAGTAATCCCTTGGTTTCTGACCTAAAGACTCTTGAAAGCCTTATTTCACTTTCCAAAGATAGGAACTTCTTAGGCAATGGTTTTAGCAGTTGATCGAACCACACAGTAGAAAGTGGGGGAAATTCTTTAATTCTAATTATTCCTTCCAAAGAGCTGGCCATGGGGCATTCAGCAAATAGCCTGCTGAGTGATCCAGTTTTATGAGCTGTATCATATTTAATGATCAGGATTAGCAGTGATAGGAGAAAGATCTATAAAGCAGTGTGAAAACACAACACTAATTTATAAGTAAGAACATATGAGTCTAGTACATGTGACACCTGATGTGCAGACAATAAGGGTATGTAGTGAATCAACTAACTGAGGCTGTCTTGTGGTTCTCAGGCTTGGCTATCATTAACAGTCCTTCAGGCTTTCTATGAAATATAATGATGAGAACAGAATTGTCTGATTCTGATTCACTTTACCAAGCACATGTGACTCTCAAATATTTGGGACTCTAGAACTGAAGACATTATAGGCAATTATCATTGCACACACTCCAATAATATTGAAGACTTTAATATAAAGCCATGTAAAAGGCTTTAATATTCCTTAATTGTGAACAAGAAATTAACAATTGTGAATATAAACATATTGATAATTGTGAACAAGAAAGAAGGCCACTGCTTTGGCCTAGGAATTTAATCAAGGGAGGGGGCTCACTATTTACTTACATATTTGATTGATTTGACTATTCACTTTATTGAACAAATCAGACTTTTAGTTAAGGATAGATATAGACTACTGGAAAACCCAAATATCTAAAATGTAAAGGGAGAATGGGTACCATCAGTTTCTAAGACAGTATATCTTGACTGTAATAAAATAAACATCCATTCACTCAACTGGCAGTATCTCCCACAGCTATGCTTTGTAGTGGTGGGCATAGAGTGGCATGTGATGAGTTATGGCACCTGTTACTTGTCGATCTGTTTACATTCGGCCCTGGGATAATCACCAGGCCCCCAGCCCACAAAGGGAAGACTCTGCTGGACTCAGTCTTCATTTCCTCTGAATCACAAGTCTTTGTATGAATCTTGAATGCATTTGGATTTTGATCTGGATGACTAGGGAACATTTATCATGATCATCATAAAATATTCATTAGAGCAATGACCAGTTTCCCCATATTAACTAGAATGATACAAATTTGCCCCTATAGGTTCTAAATTGGCGAGCTAAGTTAAAACAATGTGAAATACTAGGAAAAGTTTGAGCCACCTAACAGCTAACAACACAGGATGCCTTAATTGCTGCCCCTGCTCTTTACTACTGTTGATATGGAAATTTGGAGAGGGCTCAGGATACCTTAGATAAACATTTAGGAACAGAATATGATGTAAGAACTTAAACTCTTCAAATTATTTTCAGATTGGTGACATTTTTTTCCAAATCCTTTTTTAAAAGTTATGTTTCATGCTCTATCTTCCTCTAATTATCCTTTTCTTTCTCTACCAAAAAAAATCAGTTTGGCAATACTGAAGAAATCATCATTACTTTAAAAGTTATTTTTATGCAGTGGATTGGATCATTTGGGCTATAAATATAACTAGATTTGGAAATTAATAGGAAAGCCAGAGATCACATTGAGGAGCTGCAGAACATTCACAAAACATGGGTGGTGTGATGATCAATTCAGCTATAAAACAAAGAGCCATGATTGGCAGCATTTACCAATTTCCCTGGTATAAAGACTTTTACACCATCAATTTCAAGCCCTACCCTGAGATCACATGTTGCTAGAAAGAGATCCTAAAAAAAAAACCCAGCTCTCTCAGGACCAATAGAGGCAGCTAAAAAATACCACTGCCTGATATCCATCTCTCCATCACACAAGAAATCTAACACTCAGGCTGAAAGAACTAGAAAGCTCCCTTTAACCATCACATTCTTTTTTTATTTAAGTATTTTTTTTTCATTTTATGTATCAACCACAGTTCCTTCTCCCATCCCTCCTCCTGCTCGCCCCCCAAGACCTCCCAACCCCCATCCACTCCTCCAAAAGTGTAAGATCTCCCATAGGGAGTCAACAAAGTCTGGTACATTCAGTTGAGGCAAGACCAAGGCCCTCCCCCCTGCATTAAGGCTGGGCAAGGCGTCCCATCATAGGTAATGGGTTCCTAAAAGCCAGCTCATGCACCAGGGATAGATCCTGATCACACTGCCAGGGGCCCCTCAAACAGACCAAGCTACACAACTGTCTCCTGCATGCAGAGGGCCTAGTTTGGTCCCATGAAGGCGCCCCAGCTGTCAGTCCAGAGTTCGAACCATCACATTCTTCAGGGAGGATCTTCTAGATGTCCTCCTTAGGTCTGAATTCTTCCTCCTACTATATAGTTTCCTGCCAAGAGAGACTATATAGACTATATAGACTATATAAAAGCAACAGCCATTTTTATGGCACTCTTCTTGACTGTAATCAGGGTCACTGGTGTTCTCGACAACACTAGAAATTCTAAGTGATAACCTCTATCTAAAGATGGCTTACCAAATGAATTCAATTCTATAATTTTCATTTCTTTTTCTTTTTTAAAGCTATCAACAATCTTCGGTTAGCCAACCAGTAAATGCCATGCCATCCCCAACTGCAAATGCTAAGCCCACTCCAAGGACTCCTGATCACAAAATCCAAGGATCAAAAGAAGCGTTGATTCAAGATTTGGAGAGAAAGCTGAAATGCAAGGACACCCTTCTTCATAATGGAAATCAAGTGGGCAAGCTATCTGTCTCATACAGAAGGCCAATTAAACTGTTAAAAATCTAATTCCAATAAGAAAGTTCTGAGGCTGAGAATACAGCTCACTGGTAGAACACTTACCTAAAGTTGATACCCAGTACCACTGCACAAACACACACACACACACACACACAAAGCCCACAACACAAATTACTTCTGTCTTTCATAGATCTATGCCCATAGAGGCAGCAAGAAATAGGATTCATTTTTTTAAAAAAAGGAATATTTGCTTGCTTACAATTCATTACCACTCTAATCTGAAGTTCACCTTTTGGGTTTCAGTAGTAAATGGATGAAGCAGCTAAAAAAAGAAAGAAAAGGAAGAAAGAAAGAAAGAAAGAAAGAAAGAAAGAAAGAAAGAAAGAAAGAAAGAAAGAAAGAAAGAAAGAAAGAAAGACACCCTTGATAATAAATGAAATTTTTATCTTACACATTATTTTATCAAAAACTCAATAAATTGACAGATTTATTTATCCCTGCCCTTGGGGTAGGAAGAGTAGAGGCAGGAGGATCAGGAGTTGAAAGTCAGCTTTGACTAGAGGACTTCAAAGCAAGCCTGTGCTCCATGAAATCTCTCAAAAAAAAAATAAAATAAAATAACCACTGCCTTCTCACAAAATGTTCGTCTACCAAGTAACTAATGGAAAATTTTACCAACTCAACTTTTTTTGCACCTTAGTGTATATTATCTACGGACAAATAAAAACAGCTGTAATTATTCTATATCTCTTAATATACAGTTGAATTATTTGAAGACAAGGCTCTTTGGGAAACATAGAAACTATAATTCAAAAAAGTAGCATGACAGTTTGAAGTTCTGGCTTAGAGTAATGGTTTTCGGGGTGTATCCCTTCAAATCCCTCTTACCAAATCCCCTCACCGTCCTCTAGAGACTGACTTATGAGGAGAAGATGGCCCGCAGGTTGCTAGGCCCGCAGAATGCTGCCGCTGTGTTTCAAGCTCAAAACAGTGACGCCCAGGATTCTCCACAGGTAAATAAAAATAACTGCTATGTGACTGTGGCCTTTGTTTTTCTTTTTGACACAGGACCTTCAACCCTAAATGTGGCTCAATCGAGTGTCCTTTTTTGGCTTGTTAGGTCCTTAACATAGGGACACACAACTGTGACCAGCTTCAGTCATTTTTTTTTGTTTTGTTTTGTTTTTTGGCAATTTTTAAGTTGTTTGGTGTTTTAAGCTGTGTTTGTGACTTTCTTCTGTAGTGATCCTGAGTTTTAAAATGCCTCTTATTGAACAAACTAATAAAATGACTCTATTGGGTAACATCTCTAAGATTAATGAAAGCTCATTTTCCAAAAAAGGATTAACTTCAGGATACAGTGAATACGCACAGACTTGCACCTGACCATTAATTGTAACAGGTAAATTAACTGAAAAACATGATACAGTGGGAAAGGCAAACTGAAGGGCTGTTACCCTTTTGGTCTCCCTCTATACGCTGCCTGTTACACTCTCTTAAATAGTCCTCAAGGCTATGAGCAACAGAGATGGAGACCGGAAATCATTGAGAAAATAAATTTGAAATAAGGAGAGATTTTTGTTTCTGGCAAAGGCAACTAGACCAACAAGAAAGGATGGATCAGGGTCTAATGGGGTAAGAACTAGATCTCAGACATTGAGCAGTCCATTCTTTCATTCATTCATCCATCCAACCAACCAATTTACATGGAGCATCTACTGTGTTGAACTCTGGTCATGGCATAGACAGCTACAGCCAGAAGAAGACAACTCCATCTCTACTAGTAGAATGACTCAAAAAATTACTTAATGTTTATGACTGTTTGAAAGGGTGATGACAGGGCCAGGGCAAGAAGAGAGCAGCAGAAACATAATGAAGGCAGAAAGGGTAAATCTTGCTATTTTAGACACTCAAATATTAATCCTAGGTAATACAAAATGTTGCCCAATTACAGTGTAACTAGAAACAAAAATACATCTCTGCTGTAATTGAAATACTCTATTTCTGAACTAATATGTTAAAGCCAAAAGTTTTTTTTTTAATTACTTTTAGCTGGGCAGTGGTGGTATACCGCCTTTAATCCTAGCACTGAGGAGGCAGAGGCAGACAAATCTCTGAGTTTGAGACCAGCCTGGTTTACAGAGCGAGTTCCATGATGGCCAGAGCTACACAGAGAAACCCTATCTTGAAAAAAAAAAAAAAAAACTTATTTTGAAGATTTTGAGTTTTATAAAATTATTGTTTGATTTTTGCTTTCATTTATTTATTTATTTTTTGCTAAAAAAAAAAAGGCTGTTTGCTGAATTGATAAGTTGTTTTGACATTTTATTTAAGGAATCTTAAGACTAGCCAAAATTTTTTAGATTGTTTTAAAATGCCAAAGGGATTCATCCCAAAATAAATGCCTGTACTCAGATTTTCTGTCCCTGTACTTTGTAGAGAGATATTTAGGCTGAGACTGCATTTTCTACTTCTTTTCAATCTTCCACTGTGCCAAGCAGAGCGACATCTATGAAAAACAGCCACTAAATATATAATCAATTAATTCAATTATAACGTTCATCAATTCCTCACTTTATTCTCAAGTAGAAATAATTTTCCAGCACTCAATATAAATCATGCAATATAAATATTCCTTTATTTAGCAGGAACTAATTCTTGTTTCAAATTTTTCTATAGTTTTATCCATATTTCTAATGGTGCCCAACAGGATTTTATGCCATGAGCTAAAAGGAGAAGTATTTTCCAGTCTAATATGTGTTTACTGTTGGTGGTGGAACTGCTTGGCAGTAGCTTGACACCCACTGCCTAGTGCCAGCACAAGTGACCTCATGTCTATTCCTGCTTTGCTAAAGTACAACCTGTACTGTGTCCCCAAGTCAAACACATCAGAGGGACACATCATCCTTTATCATAAAACAGTCGTCTGAAAAGTAAGCTACCATCAGTTCTGGGTCCAGCTGATCTTTATAAATCACACCTGCGAAACTATCCAGTTAATTCTCTGGGGTTCTTAGTAAGGATAGAGGTGGTTCGTTGGCTCTGTTTTAAATAGTAGATATACAAAGCCAATAACAACTGAGGTAACACATCCAAAACAGAAACATTCCTCTCAACTACAATTACTTACTTCTGCTTCATTTGAAAGGATCAATTGCATGTTAACTTTCTCATTTTTTTTTTTTTCATCTCAAGCAGCATAACCCAGAACATGCACGGCTGCAGGTCCCCACATCACAAGTAAGGTAATTTTATTTAATTTATAAAGAGAGATGTATTTTGCTATCTAAAATGTTTTCCACTAAAAATATATTATGTATACGTAGCCCTCACACTTACTGTATTTTTTCAAAATACAGTGTGAATTTTTTATTTATTTATTTATTTATTTTATTTTATTTATTTATTTATTTATTTTTTTGGTTTTCGAGACAGGGTTTCTCTGTGTAGCTTTGCGCCTTTCCTGGAACTCGCTTTGGAGACCAGGCTGGCCTCGAACTCACAGAGATCCGCCTGGCTCTGCCTCCCGAGTGCTGGGATTAAAGGCGTGCGCCACCACCGCCCGGCCAGTGTGAATTTTTAATGCCAAAGATGATAGTGAAAAAGTGTATGTCAATTATCAGAGCTATCTCAAAGGGAGATTTTTAAACATTATATCCAAATAGTCAGGACCATGCCTCCATGTTAAATAACTTTGTCACAATAAGGGAACCCCATTTACTAACTATGAGGTACACATTGATAAATTTAAGGAACTATTGTGGTGGTAATCTAATTGTACTGAAATGTGATTTTGATTGTATGTTAATAAATAAAGTTGCCCGGGGGTCAGAGCTATTAGAGCCATAGCAAGAGTGTGGCGGTGGTGGCACACGCCTTTAATCCCATAGATATCTGTGTGTTCAGGGATATAGCCAGCATTGGAGACATATGCCTTTAAGACCTAGGGGGCTGTACATTCAGACAGTGACGAGGCAGTCACGTGTTTGGGTTTACAACCAATGAGAAGGCAGAACAAAATACTTTAAATAGACGAACAGACAGGAAATAGAAGCCTCATTCGGGAAGCTGGGACACCGCAGGTGGAAGGGTGAGATTTTAGCTCTGAGCTCTGACCTCTCGGCTTTCTCTTTTGCATTGTTTCTGTGTTTCTTATTTAATAAGACGGTTGGTTACATCTATAAACTATTTTTTAAAAAGAGGGTTATTTAATATTTAATTTGTACCAAATGTATCTAAATTGTTATATTTCTGCCAGTCATCAAATAAGCCACTGAATACATCACCCTTAAGGTCTGTTTCCATTGTCACCATGCCATCAGACCAAAGCAGAGACTCTGGACTTTCTAGCGTAATGGCCAAATTGTATTGTGTGAATGGAAAAGCAAAGACATTAATGCACAGTCATTATTAAAATATTGTTGTAGGAGTAGATCATCCTCGAGAGCAGAGGCAAATGACCAGGATGCCATCCAGGAGAAGTTTTACCCACCACGCTTCATTCAAGTGCCAGAAAACATATCGATTGAAGAAGGACGGTTCTGCAGAATGGATTTCAAAGTAAGTGTTTTTAAATATGCTAAGGACACATTAGCAATGGGACCACAAGTTTGGGGAAACGCCTCCTTTCCCACACTTTTACAGCTTGTCCCACAGCCTGAAAAGCACCATGTACAAGGAGAAGGAACACAAGTGCTCAAGCTGAGTTTGACACCCTAGTTGTGCTACTTTCCGGCTGTGTGAGCTTAGACAAGTTAGTTAACCTCTCTGTGTTTTTTTGTTTTCTCATCTGTGAAATGGGACTAACAAATAGTACTTACCTCATAAAGTTAGGAAGATTAGCTTAGTAAACAGATGTACTGGATACACACACACACACACACACACACACACACACACACACACACACTCACTGATGTACAGGCTGTCTCAAGTATACGCCGTAGTTGTCCATTAACCACTTAAAGCTACTCTGCTCTCTTCCTTCCTAGCTTTTTAGGCTAGATCAGTGCTTTAAAGGAGACCACATCATATTTTGATTATCCTCATTCTAAGAATTTTCTGTTGTAAAATATTTTTTCCAGATTCCCTATCGATGAGGGTGGAATGTCTTCACACAAAAACATTTAAACAACTAATATTTATGTACAAAACTGTAGCTTCCATATTCCTTGTGGAATAAAACATATAATGTTCTAGATAAAGTAACCAAAAGAAGTCTTAAAGAGTTTGAGGTTGTATTTGAAAGAATTAGGTGTGGTCTGAAATAGTCTAAAAGCAATATATTAATCTCAAAAATTCAAGGTAAAAATTTACAATAAATGTATTTTGAACTCCTACTTTACATTTTCAACCCCAAATCCAGATGACAAGATTGTTAAAATCACAAAGAGAAAACTGTCGTGTCTTGTTTCTAGGTGAGCGGACTGCCGGCCCCTGATGTGTCGTGGTATCTAAATGGGAGACCAGTTCAATCTGATGAGCTGCACAAGATGATAGTGTCTGAGAAGGGTTTCCACTCACTCATCTTCGAAGTGGTCAGAACATCGGATGCAGGGCCATATGTATGTGTGGCCAGGAACAGAGCTGGAGAAGCCACTTTCACAGTGCAGTTAGACGTCCTTGGTGAGCCCCAAAGAGATCCTTCAAAGGAAGAATGATGAAAAAGAAAGTATTAAAAAAGAAAATATTTCAGAGAAAAGCCCAGAGGAGTTCATACTTAATGTTAACATCTACAGAATCTAGTGCAATGCCAGTTTATACTTAAAACAACAAAAAGACATTTTAGTGGGAAACAGCAAAGCTAGAATGACAGATCTACCACTAGTTCTTTCCCAGAAAGGCAATAAGGGGATAATATAATTCTATTTTAATTTATTGAGGGAGGGGTGAAGAAGCGTTTGTTTTACATATCCCAAGTCACAGTCCATTGGAGGGGGCCAATGCAGGAACCGGAGTCAGGAACCTGGAGGCAGGAACTGAAGAAGAAGACCAGGACAAAGCTGCTTCCTGGCTTGCTTCCCAGGAGCTTGCTCAACCCACTTTCTCTTTAAAAAAAAATGTCAGTTAAAAATATAATTACGTCATTTCTTCTCTTCCCTTTCCTCCTTTCAACCCCTTCCAAATCTCTTCTTCCAGACCCCCCAGTGCCCCGCCTTTCTTCTCTCAAAATTATGGCCTCTTTTTCTATGATTATTTTAGATAGATAGATAATGTAGATGGATAGAGAGATAAAGAGATAGAGATATATGGATAGATGAAAGATGATAGATAGATAGATAGATAGATAGATAGATAGATAGATAGATAGATAGATAGATAGATAGACAGACAGTCTGTTTAGTATTGCTATTAATATGTATGATTTCAGAGCTGACCATTTGGTATTTTATAACTAATTAGGGGGCTCATCCCTGGGGTAGACCTCTCTCAGCAGACACTAGTTACCTGTAGTTTTTTGTCTAAGGGTGGAGCCCTGTGAGATTTCCCCCTTCAATATTAGCACATCTATTGGTGCCCTCCTTGTTCAGGTCTTGTTTAGGCAACTATTTGTTAAGGTGTCATGGGTGAAGGTTTCCTGTTGTTTCCAGTCTGTGCTGTGAGACACAATCTCACAGCAGACTTCTTGTTCTTGTGGCTTTTAAAATCTTTCTACTCCCTTTTCTGAAATGTTCCCTGAGCTTTCGGTGCAGGAGTTGTGGTGTAGATATCCGTCGAGGCTGGGTACCTCACAGTCAGTTGTTTTCTATAATTTGACCAGCCTTGGGGTTTTTGTTATGGTCTCCACCTACTGGAAAGAGGAGCTTCTTTGATGAGGGTGAGAGCTACACATATCTGTGAATACAAAGAAAAGTATTTAGAATGCAGTGGGGATTTAGCTCTACTGGTCTGGTAGAGTGATAGTAGTAAGTTCTCTTCCGAGATCCACGAACTCACTACTCCTGGGCAGCTGGCTAGGTTTCCAGTACCAGGCACGGTCTCCCTTCTGTTGAGTCAGCCTTTAGTCCGATTAGAGAGCTGTTGGTTGCTGCCAACTCATGGCCGCCACTATTGCATCCTTAGGTGTATTCTTGCATGCTGCTCGTTGTTCACCACACATAGGTAGGACTATTGATTACTTCACCCTTTTACTGTTTGCACAGCTCCCTTTGGCAGTATGAAAGCTAGTCCTTAGAAGGAGACTGTCTATCACTTGAATCCCGCTATTTCCCCTCTCTAGCCTCCCCCCATTATTTACTTTCCTGGTTTCTACAGTTACTTCCAAGTTATGTACTCACATCTTAAGATTTGGATCTAGGAGTCATATATAAGAGAGAACATACTAAGTTTTTTCTTTCTGGGTCTGTGTTATCCCACACAATATATGTTTTTAATTCCATTCATTTACCTGCAAATGTCATTATTTTATTTTCCCTTCCAGCTGAATACTATTTCATAGTGTATATGTACACATTTTCATTATCCATTGGGCAGCTGAAGGACATTTAGGTTGTTTCCATTTCCTAGCTATTGTGAACAGGGCAACAATGAACGTGGCTGAGCAGGAATTGGTAGAGAGAATATTATATAATTTTAGAGGGAGCAAATGAAATAGTACAAGCATTTGCTGAAATAACTAGAAACTTCAGTTTAATAATTTATCTGCTGTATAATCTGAAATGTTGCCATCCTGACTTATGATGATACAGAACTGTCGTAGGCTGTCATAATGTAAACTCCTACTTGAAAAATGGACATTAGGTGTTAATTTTTAGCTATGCTATATTTACTAGGAAAATTGTGTCTAATTATAATGAAAAATGCCTATTTCTTTGGAAAAACATGTTCTGATAAAACTGTCACCTCACACTATGGCAGCACAGTTCTATAAAAACTCATGTCCAGTTTTTAAGTTTTACCAAGTACTTTAAATACATCATATGTAACGCTTCAAACTATGGTATTATCTCACTAGAAATATTTAATGAATCAACGTCTATTATATAAAAGTCTGATCAGGATAAAGGATGGACAAGGTTCTTGAGCGTATACTCTACTTTAAGGGACCTCAGCCAAAGAAAAGAGGGGGTGAGCATGGAATAAAGCACTCAGGTGCACGCTCGCCCAGCATGCACACTTCCCACTATTAAGCTCTAGGTAAATCGTGTTTGTGCCCGTGGCTTCATAAATACTGTCCTCTTCCAGCTGAAAGAGACCTTGGCTGGAGTCCATCCAGTCTCTTCATTTCTCCTCTAGAAAATCCAGCTTCAGTGTCAGCTCACCACTTCCCATTTCTTCTTGCTGTGATGTAGGTAGTTGTGATGACTGACATCTGTGTGTTATCAGTTTACAAAGCATCTTTTCTTTCATATTCAGAAAAGTCCATCACTACAACCTGGAGTTGTTTGTTTGTTTGAAGGGTGTAGTTAGCAATAGACAAAACTGAGGCTCAGAGAAACGAAACAAGACTTTTCCAATTTTACATGGCTGGGGGGAGGGCAATAGAGATTTCATTTTGCAGGGTTGAGGATCAAGGCCACAGCCCTGTACATGCAGGACAAACACTCCACTGCTAAGCTGCACCCCCAATAAGGATCTGAACCAGAGTCGCCTACTACTCTTCCCACCATGCATGCTGCCTTCCAGTCGACGAAATGACTTCTTCTTTAAATGAAACATGGCTAAAATGTCAATACTCCATTTTCAGAATGCTGAATATAATAAAATAATAATGTATGTTACAGTATTTTATGTAAAAGTTTAAAAATAAAGTTTTCAATCCTGATGTTGCTTTTTAAAGATTTAATGTCAACACACAAATTTCAAAGTATTTTAATTTGGTTTAATGTCATCTTTATCGATTTCCTACCAATCTGCAGCAAAAGAGCATAAAAGAGCACCAATGTTTATCTACAAGCCACAGAGTAAAAAAGTTTTTGAGGGAGAGTCGGTGAAACTAGAGTGCCAGATCTCGGCTATCCCTCCACCCAAGCTTTTCTGGAAAAGGAACAATGAAATGGTCCAGTTCAACACGGATCGGATAAGGTGAGAGGAGACTTTCCTGACTGACGTGTGCATTGCTTGGATGAATCTAGTTATACTTTTTACACACATTAAAAATCACCCAATTATGGCCTTGGGTTGTCTGTTCTTAAAAATACATATTTAAGTCAGATTCAAGTAATCCTAAAAATAAGACATAAAAGAGCCTAGAGTCTATCTTTTGTTGACAATAAAGAACCATGGCTGCAGGAGATAAATGATATAAAAAGAATAAAAGGAAATTGTTTGGGAGGAGAGAGTGTGTGTGTGTACATGAGTTTTCTAGAGATCCAACCTAGGATCTTAAGTGTGTTAAACAATACTCTACTGTGAAGTGATATCTCCACTCATAGGTGGGGTATCTAATTGTTAAAAATTCAGTAACTACTTGGCATTGATTAGAGGCAGTCTTGGAATTTTCTTATTAGTTAAATTCTATAAGGCAGCAATATCACTTAAACTTTCACCTGAAAGAAAAGAATTTTAATTCCTGGGCCTCAGTTTTCATTTGTTTCTTTCCAGCTTGTATCATGATAATGCTGGAAGAGTCACTTTACTGATAAAAGATGTAACCAAGAAGGATGCTGGGTGGTACACAGTGTCAGCAGTCAATGAAGCTGGCGTGACCACATGTAACACAAGATTAGATGTCACAGGTATGTCACACAGCAGCTCAACTTAACTGGGAAGGTGAGAAACATACAGCTCACCGTGGTGTGAAGTATGGGGGATTTTCCTCATAATCTTTTTCTTTTCATATCTGCCAGTGACTACTAAGTTCAACTATGTGTTTTAAATTGCTCTTCTAACTTAATTTTTATTATTTCAGCCCGTCCAAACCAAACCCTCCCGGCTCCCAAGCAGTTGCGTGTTCGACCAACTTTCAGCAAGTATTTGGCGCTTAATGGGAAAGGTTTGAATGTGAAACAAGCTTTTAACCCGGAAGGAGAATTTCAGCGCCTGGCAGCTCAATCTGGACTCTACGAAAGTGAAGAACTTTAGTAACTTTGCCCGCAGTGGGAAATACAACTTCAGTATTAGCAATATATCTGATGACTTTGTGAGAAAAAAAAAATCTATGGCTGTATTAACAGCTTACGGCTTTACTTAGGTCGTATAACTAACACACATTTAAAACATTATTTACCCTCCGACTCTGGCGCAGCCTGTCTACCCCTCTGACCTGTGAGGTCAACACTAAACTGAGTGTATGGGTTTGTATTCTAAGAGACTGTCTTAAGTTACAGTCTCTTAGAGCTTGAGTCGTGCACATTTAACAACAAGTTATGAATCAAAAACTTTTTTAAAACCGCTAATGCTTGCAGTAAAGTTTATGGGTATTGCTTAACACATATTGGTTTACCTGTTTTCTCTTGTAGGAATACTAACATGATATAGATTATCTGAGTGTTCCACAATTTCATGTCAAAAGAGAATAAAATTCGAATAGCTAAAACAGACTTGTCTCAACTTCACAGAAGTCTAGAATGATGTTCAAAATCAAACTTCTGGGGTTTAGGGGTTTTTGGTTTTGTTTTTTGTTTGTTTGTTTTGTTTTTTTTCAAGACAGGGTTTCTCTGTGCAACAGCTCTGGCTGTCCTGGAACTCACCTTGTAGACCAGGCTGGCCTTGAACACACAGAGATTCACTTGCCTCTGCCTACCGAGTGCTAGCATTAAAGGTATGTGCCACCACAGCCTGGCCAAATTTCTGGGGTTTGTATATTAAAGAACACTCAGCAAAACCTGTGAGTAACAAATTCTAAAACAGAAGTGTCATTCTCAAGAAGAGCATGATGCTCACAGCGCAGGCCATTCCTTTTGAAAATGTCTCCCATGACTTACAACTCAAAGGCAACCACAGCAAGGCCAATGATAGTCCTCAGCTGTGATATTATGCTGACTAAAATAACTAATTCAGTGGAACAAGAGCCATCTCAAAAGGTCATCTCCAAGTTCTGTATATCTAGCATAAATTTCAAGACTGGAAGTTTTGTCTTCCATGGTTGCCAAATCAAATAACTTGCTATGTTAGACAGTCTAATTTTGTAAGCCCCTGAGAGTGTAAGCACAGGAAGATAGAAATCCTTTCAGGAAACTCTCTTAAGCTAGAACAATGGCTTTTTCTTTGCCTCAACCCACTGCCTGTGGCCTTTGCATGGTCTCTTCTGTGGCTCAATGAAAGAGTTTTTGACCCTGGCTACTGTGTGGCCTAGTTTTTCTCTATATCTTCACATAAACATCTTTTTTTTTTTGTTTTTTTTT